AAATTATCTTATGGTATAATAAAACCTTAGGGGAAAAAAAAAATCTAATGAAGCCTTTGCACTTAAAGTAATACATTTGCCCTGTTAAATCTGAGAATCAGAGAAGTACAGAATGATTCGGGTTCAAAGGGACCTTAAAGATCATCTCTATCCACCCTTTGTCATGGGCAAGGACACCTTCCACTATCCCAAGTTGCTCCAAGCCCTGTCCAACCTGGCCCTGGACACTTCCAGGGATTGGACAGCCACAGATTCTCTGGGTAGCCTGTGCCAGGGCCTCACCATCCTCATAGTAAGGATTTTCTTACTAATAGATAATCTAAACCTACCCTCTTGCAGTTTGAGGGCATTGCCTCTCGTCCTGTCACTACAGCTCTGGATGGAAAAGACAAATTTCATGTTGATGTTGTACTTCCTTCTGAAAGAGATGGGTGTAGAGGGAAATGCTTTCAGAAGGGTTTCTGCTGCTCCTCTCAGATTTTTGCTTGAAGTGAAAAAGACAGCTCATGTGTGGAAGGGTAAAAAAGTACATAATTCTTTTTAAGACCAAGACTGTACTGGACAAACTAACAGCTTTGATGACAGGCTTCCCAGAGAGGCCAGTAGCTGTAAGAAGCATGAGCTGCCCTCCTAACCTTGGGCTGAATGGACATCAGCATGTCCAGACATCCATGGACTCAACTGAGCCCACAGCTTATTCCTCTGAGGCCAAACAAAAAACTATTGAGGAAAAACCGCTCCATGATGACTATGATATTTCTACGTGGGTAGAATTTCCAAAAGGGGTTCTAACATTCACATTAAAACTTTGAAAAAGCTGCTAGAAAGTATGTTTTACAGCTCAGACCCACAGCCCATTATTCAAAGGAGATGGTGTACTTAGTTGCCCTCTGAATTACTCAAAGTAATTAATATTTGTGGTGGTAGTAGATCAAGGGTTGGACTTGATGATCTCAGAGGTCCTTTCCAACCCTGCTGATTCTATGATTCTACAATTCCTGATATGTTGCAATGATCTGTAGACAAAGTCTTATGGATATTTTTTAAATAATATTTCAGTAATACCACAGGTCCTACCTACAAAATATTTTAATATAAAGTTGCAATTTAGGATTAGTATGACATAAGATCAAATGCAATCAGATTTTTAAAGTATTTTTTAAAGATGAATGTGTTCTGATTAGATATTTATCTACTGTACACATTTTAAATGTGTACAGTAAGAACCCAGTGCTCAACTGGAGTAAAGTGACAAGGCTTACCTAAAGTGAAAGTATCAGTAATACTTTCAAACAGCTGGTCCTACATGTTTCTGAAAATCTGATGATATTAAAAGACATACAAGTATACCTTTATTAATGTAATGATTTTGCTGTTTGAAAAACTGTAATAAAAATGTTATCCAATTGAGCGCTTAGTTCTTTTTTTTTTTTTTTTTAACATCAATCCACTATGGAGTAAAATACATATGAAACTTAAATACTGCTTAGAGCAATGGCTGAAAATCAAGTAATGGACCCAGACAAAGGTTCAGGGTCAGGTTGGATGGGACTTTGGAGCAACCTGATCTAGTGGAAGGTGTCCCTGCCCATGGCAGAGGGGTTGGAAAGAGATGAGCTGTAAGGTCCCTTTCAATACAAACCATTCCATGACTCTGGGAACACCTTAACCATTCCAGTCTATTCACTTTCCTGTTGAATCTCTGGACACAAAACAAAACAAGATGAGACAGGCCTGGATGCAGCTGTGGAACAGTGGAAGGGAATGGGAGATGGAGGGAGCCTTGTCACCAGACAAGATGTACTCATCACAATAATGGATTAGTCTTTTTTTTTTTTGCACAATTTTTCCCTCATGTTTTACAGAGACAGTTGAAAGTGTTTATTCTTTAGGCTGATGAATGTAACTAAAACTTATTTTAAGAAGGAGGTAAACCCATTTCTTAAGACATTAAATATCGCAGGCATATGTAAAGACTATCATTTCACTGAAGCCATCATAAAATAAAAATATTATCTAAAAATAATAAGTTTGTTGGTTTTGTTTTTCAGTGGTGTTTCTCCAAAGACATAATTTTAATTGTAGATTAGTTTTGCTCTTGTAGTCCTATTGATAGATTTTAGGCAAGCAACATATATCATTAACTGTACTGTGTAGGGGATCACATTTCAAACGGGAGCTTTGTCTGGCCAAGGTACTACAGCCTGTCTGATTGTAGCAGAATTGTCATTAAATGGAAATGATGTCTGGGAATATTGAACTTAATGTTATGTTTTGAAATAACATGAATAACATTACAGTGGTTTTAATGAAATTCATAGGAGAAAAATGTCATTAAACAAAGCAACAATACTAGTCATGGTGCCCTGGTCAAATTCCAATCTGGCTGATTGCTTTCTGACACCTATTATTTTTCAGTTTGAATTTGGTATGTTTGTGAACAAACCTCACTGTTTGTTCATTGATATGTTAATGCCCTACATCATCAGCTCATTGCTGTTTGTCACCCCAGAGTTAGTTGGCTTTCACTCTTGTCCATCCAAATGCTTTTAATGAAGCCATTACTACAGTGAAAGCCATTACTACCTTGAAAAGATCCCTTTCAATCTGCCTTCCCACAGTTCATCAAGTTACTTAGATATTTCTTAACCTAACAAGTGAGCATACACATAACTTATTCCAGTGTTTGTTAAACACACAGCACAGCCTGATGTCCCACTTTTGACAAAGTGTGATGCTGCAGTCCATTAATGTATGCTTAAAGTTGGGCACAGAGGTGTCCTGCCACACACTGGTGACTTAGTTAGGGTCAGGAAGGTAATCTGAGCAGTATCCCCTCATCACCTCCACTTAACCATGATTTGCTTTGAATTGTGGAGTGATCTCTGAGAACATGACCGAAAATGGATGAACTTTAAGTCAAGGAGAGGAGAAGTCACGCTCCAGGAGAACTACTGATTGACCTCAGCACCAGCTAATTATGGAGATAACAGACCTTGAGTAGAGAAAGTCCAAAGTTAAAAAGAAATTCCCAAGGCGTGGACTGCAGAACAAACTGTTTTGTTCTACAGCTCTGTTCTGGTTGGTTCATACCACCTGTTTATGGACACATAGCCATATTCAAGCGCTTTGTTCAAATGAGCAGATCTACTTTGTATTATCTTACTGGTCTTGGATTTAAGGGTCAAAGTCTGAATTGAAGTATACTTGAGAAAGCCCTTCTAACATTGCTGAACTCTATCGGTTTTAGAGGGCTTATGGGGAAAAACATTTTGAACACCTAATTCCTGTCTCATTGGAAGGTTTAAAAAATGTAGGGCAGCAATTTTGAATACCCTTGTTTGCACATTCAGGCAGGATCTTCAGTGGTGATCTCATAGAGGAGCTTTTGTTGTGCCTGTCGCATCTCACAGTCATAATTTCTAATATCACTCCCAAAGTCCCCCCCTCCATGGGCTTTAAGCTCGAATGGTCAAATCCAATCCAGACATTCGTGCACACAAATTTTCATGTTTGTGAGACCAGACATGATCATCAAGGAGCATGTAAAAGTATTTAAATCAGGCACATATACTTTTATATTCATTGACAGTGATTAAAATACAAAAGTCCAACAAAAAGTAAGGTCAGAAAGAAGTGGAAGAGTATCTTTATATCACTTAGTGAATAAAGTATTCCAGAAAACCTCATCTATCAAAAACTGTAGATAACCAGTCCTATCCCATTTCTGGTAGGGTCAGGGACAGTGTCCTGTTTTCTCAGCAGAACAACTGAATCTACATCCCTCCCAGACTGGTATATAAGCACAAGGCACTGCTATTTGAAGCCTCAAGCTGTGCATCAAACTGCAACTGGATTGTCACCATTAGGGTTTTGTCACAGCCCGATTTAGGGAGGAAGTCAATGATCTGGAAAACATATGTGAAGTTTTAAATGTACATAATCAGATCTTTAGAACTAATTTCAGGTTTGATGCTGCCTTAGATTTTCTGCCTTCAGGTAGAAGAAAGAAGACAAAGAAATGGGGAGAAGAGTGACAGGATAAGTGGAAAAGGGTAGACAGAATCGTGTGAGCACAGATGTTAATGAACCGAAAAACACCATTTTATTTAACTGTTACATATGTCTGCATAGGAGTCAGGCATCTGAAAACAATCATAGTAGTGTATAGTAGGAGCATCTTAAGATTTCCATATAGTGATTTTTTTTTTTCCCATCCTTTTCAAAGCTTCTGCTTAGGATTAAGGGTATTTTCCATTCAGTACCAGGTCACAATCAAGCCATTCTAACATGGTCTGTCCCTAACTCACTCCCTTGCACACACACACATCAATATAGACAGCAAGCTACAAAGTACAGAGGGAGTAAAAGGAAAAGGGTGAGCAAGGATTATTAAAGGTATTGAGAGAGCCATGGTCATTGCCCTTGTAGTCAAAGAAATATGATACTCTATGGGTATATTACCTGAAATCTTGTATACAAATCAGAATGAATTCAAGTCCCCATCTTACCTGGACACTCCAACAACATAGTCAATGGATCTCCTGGCAAAGATAATCTCATATATACTCTTTTATTTTAACTAATTTTTTTTTCCAGTGTGATCTTGAGAAGCCATTAATTAAATCTAGTATGCTTAGGGGAAAAAAAATAAAGATCTTTAATGTCTGCTAACTTCCAAAAAACTAGGAGATTTTTGCCTTAAAAGTCCTGACTGAATGTTGAATACATATATATAACTTCCAACAAAAATCGAAAAAGATTTTCAAGTGAAAACAAAGAAGGTTTGTATGTGATTTGCCAAGGCTACTTTAAGTTCCACAACATATGAGTGAAAAGCACCACAAACACCTTAATTTATTACGAGTCCTAGTTTTCTGGTCTTTGATTAAACTTCATCTTGTACTAATAATTCTCAGTAGTACTGTACAACATATGCTTCAGAAACCCCTGAGGTAGGCAAGGAAAACCAAGCCAAAACCACTGGAGAAGTCACTTACCTGCCTGAACTCCTCAAGATCTATTTTGTTTCCCACCAGAACCACAGGGATGTCATAGGTGTGCCGGACACGATAAATGAGTTCCTTAAACTCAGCAGCTTCTTGGAAGGATTGACGGTCTGTGATGGAGTAGCAGATAATGAAGCCTTCTCCACCTCGCATGTATTGGTCTCTCATGGCTGTGAATTCTGCCTGTGGAATAGGGAGAACACGCTTACTAATTTGGCAAACAAAATTATCCATCTGTAAATAACAAACTTGCTGAAAACTTCCCCAATTCCCCACATAATTTCATACTGCTTGTTTTTTACTCTTTTAAATGCTGCTTGCTGGGACTTGTGCATCCTTCTTGGTTCATCGACCCCAATAATAAGAATTTCTCTGAGGACTTTTTTTTTTCTCCTTTTCCTATCAAGGGAAAGCTGTCCTCTAAGAATATGAACTTATTTTGCACACAGAAAATACTGCCTCATGTATTACTAGAACATTCTGCAGTACTGCCAGTACAAAGAGATGACCTGCATTTGAATGAGTATTAACAGGTGTAATAGGAAAGCTATATTACCATCTAGGGATGAGAGAGGTACAAATTCCTTCTTATGCCCTCAATTCAAAAGCTCAGTAATATCAAAAAAGTATTCATTGTCTCCCACCAGCTTTGGAAGAGTGCCTAGGAAAATAGGAGTACAATTTGCAAAAAGTTCTGCTCTTTTAAAGGCTCTCAGAAAACCTGAAGGTTTCAGTTCAGTGTGGGGTGATTCCATTAAATGAGAATGAACAATTTCAAATAGTGAGAGAATTGGCCCAATTTTCTACTCCTGCATTTTTCTCTTTTCATGTATGTATTTATTGTCACAGCAACACTTCTGGTTACTGGTACACTTTTTTTTTTTTTTTTTTTTTCAGAAGTACTTAACATCTGCCACATTGTACAAAAATGAAGATTTAGTTTTCAAAAAATGGTCTCAGGAACTGTGGCTTGAGAATATGTTTTAAAGCCAGTTTCTTTCTCAAGTTTGTTTGCTTTTCTTGATCACAGCCCAGAATAACCCAACACCATGGCAACAGTCGGTCAGGATCGGAATCCTCCTGACAGAATCAGTTCTCCAGAGATATTAAGATGCAGGGAGGTCTGATAAAAAAAAGGATACACATATCAACATCAGACCATTTCTATGAGCAGCAGGATGCAATATCAAATCCTGTATTTTTTACTCTATTGAGAATTTATGCTAGGATTTTTGAAACATTTTAGGTTACAAATATATATCCTCAGTCTTTGCTGAAAATTAAAGGGAAATAGATTGCTTATGTTCTTTTAAAAGTCTCAACCTTAAATCTCTCTCAATAGTCATTCATGTTGACTGACAATACTTCCTGTGAATAGACTTTCATGTTGACCATTATCATTTATTTATGATGTGTCTTTTACCCAAGGGCTTTATATATCATTCAAAATATTTCACCTGCTACAGGAAAAAGTTCATCGAACTAAGCTTCAAAATGGCAGACAAATAGGAAATTTAAGGGTAGGATTCTGCCTTGAGACTTACTCAGAATTTCAGAATCTCTCATTTAAGACCACTGGCATCCCAGGAGAGTTTATTGACCACCAAACTACAGTACAGACTGGATCAGGTCATACTCTAGCCTACCCTTCTGAAATTGCATATGCAAGCAGTAGGGCAGTGGTGGGCAGAAACACTGAAGGGGTCAAACAGAAAGTATTCAGTGTACAAGACACTGAATGGAGGTGCAACTTTGTTTCCAGGTCTTTCCCTACCATGTACATTAGATAGCCATTAGATTAATAAACAATGTAATGCCAAACATGACATCATACTCAGTCTCCAAGTTAAGGGTAGGGAGTTTTAATGACAAAACACATTCACTGACTCCATAACTTGCTCTCAGATTCCAAACTTTTACACCAGAACAAAGTCTTGCTGCAGCCCCCATCCCTCGTGCCCCTGATTTTCTCCTCTTTGCATCAGTCACCCAAAACGGTTCTGCACCAAGAACTGAACTAGACCAGGATCCCTTCAAGCTTAGCAGACAATGGAAACCTTCTATGAAGTTAAACCTGTGGATTAGGCTCCTGAATTTAATTGTCTGTGTAGCTGCAGTCAACTACTTGAGCTCTTGTTTTAGCAAACGGTGAGTTATTCAATGCAATTAGTGGACTACAGATTGCTTCTGCTGATGAAAAAATAGTTATCTCTTTAGTTATCTAATTACCTATTTTTTTTTTGTATCTGCTATTTATTTTTAGAGCATTTGGTACAACTGAATTGAGGTTTTAGCTAAAAGTACATGTTTTCATGTGAAACCTAAAGCCCAGCACAGGTGACCTGCATTTTTGTGTTAGAGGTTTCATAAATCAACTGCTGTAGCACTGCATGCCTGCTCTGTACAGCCTTTTACAGAGAATGAGCTCCGTTTAAGTGAGGTGATCCACCTCTAGGAAGTGCTCAGAACTTTGTACACTCCTTTATTGCCATTTATGGCAAACTGAGAAGGAATTAGGTCACATATCCCTGTGTAAGTTACTCACAGTAAGTGACGTTCTGCAGCACGAGCAGTCCCAGGATCACTCCCCGGGGATACTTAATGGCTTTCCTTGACTGACAGGAGACCCTGGGTTCCTAATTTTACACAGTGAATCATTCCAAGGGGACAAAGTCCTCAGCTTCTAGAGACTGCCACTCTTGAGTCAGAGTCATTTACCCACACATTCCAGTTCATGCCTGGGCATAGTTAAGGCTTTAAGGACATGAATGAATTTACCTATGCAATTTTTTATTATGACATATTATTGCTGCTGATATATGAGACTAAACAGACAAAATGCTTTAGTGTCATGTTTGCAGTGATCCTTTTTCAGAGGCATTAAGTATTCTGAGCAAAATGGATTGGGGACATCCACTTGGCTTTCTGTTGTTAGCTCAGATAGTCATTTCCATTCCAATTTTTTGATGTTGACTTTTACTTCTCAGCTTTTTCCCCTTGGCATGATTGCTCAGTACAGAGTCAAGGACTCTAAGGTCAAACATAAACAAGCCTTTTATTTGATTTCAAAAGAAGTGGATTTTTCCTCTGTTCGCCAGGAGCCTCAACATAATGATATATAACAAGTGAAAGAATAAATACAATTACCAATAAACATACTATAACCCTTGTAACACTCTATGCATATTGTATATACAAGACAAAAGACTAAGATGCAATTAAATACTTTTGTTCATTTTTATCTTAAGTCCTACTCTATATTTCACATTTTTTCCTATTTCATTACAGCAAGAAAAAACAAAACCCAAGTTCATCTGGAGTTTTTGAATGTTCAGGGGTAGATAGAAACAGACCCCAAGGTTTTACAAATTGTTCAGTTGTTTTATTTTTATATTTTGCCTGGTTCTTTCATGAAATAAGTAACAGTGTATCTGGGCAGCTGGCACACTAATATCTTCTTTAATTATTTCCTGATGCACAAGGGATCTTTTAAAAATTATTCAGAAATTGTACTGGATATCAATTTCTACTCAATAAGGGAAAAATATGAAACATTCCCAAGTCAGTAAATGCCAAAGGGAAGAGACAGAAGGAAATCACACCCCCTCAAAAGGAAATCAATTCTGAGAATTAAAGTGAAGATTTGTCATGCTTACAGCACTTTGCAGCTTGACATCAGTCTCTAATACTCTCTTGTGTATTATGACTAAGACTTAACTGAAAAGTGTGGTAAAAAACCTTCTGAAACAAAAATCATTATTCTTCTTAGGAGATGTGTTGTTACTTGAGAACAAGCATCAAGTCTGGATAGAAACAAAACAAAACTTTTCTAAAAGTTGAAGGAAGTCATCATAACTTTTTCCTTTTCCCTTTATAATTGAGTGCAGCAAAAAAACTACTGCTAATCCTCATAGGACTGTATATGTCTACCTGTTGTTGAAGAAAGCTGGCAAGTAAATCTCTCGATGATTAGGCTGCTCCTGAATAGTTGTCCCATTTGCCTTTCATCAGTTACCAGGGATCTCACACAATTTTACAAAGGTACCAGACTAGCCTCGCAATAACACAGAGCAGCTCCCTCGACGTGCTTTGGGTGTGTCTCATCCTGCTGTATTGAGCTGCTCACACACACACAGAGGTTGACTCCCATCTCCCTTGTTTATCCCCCTCTACTCAAGGTCCTGTATCTTCCTTAAACTTTCCTGGGAGGCATAAAGACCTGGCAGGCATAAGAGCAGAGATTGCCTCTCTGTCTGGGACAGAGAGAGTCTTAAATGTGTTAGTACTTCTCACGTTCCTCATCACTGAATACTCACTCATTCCAGTAGCAGCCCCACATTTTTCCTGGTCTTTGTGGAGTTGCCAGTGTACCTATAGAAACCTATCCCATTACCTTTTAACTTCTTAAAATGTTCAACTCCAGAAACACTTTGGCTTTCATAATCTAATCCATTCACAGCTAAGAAGAAATACTTCCATATCTATCCTTGGGAGACTGACCCTGTTTCCACATTTCATTTTTCTGTGTATGCTTTCTTTTTCTATTAGCTTTTAATCTAACAACTTAGCAAAGAGAAAACATCTAACCTCTCTTTTCATCGTCTTATCTTATCCTCTTTTACAGCACTTTTCATAATGAGCAAGAGAAATCTTTTCTCAAAGAGCAATACTATTGATAAATTTCAAAATTCATGCTGCTGTCATAAACAACACTTGTGTGTTGTTGGTTTTTTGTTTGTTTGGTTGTTTTTTTTTTTTTCAGTAGAGACTCCTTTCCAAATAAGATCAGTATCTAAATGTCTCCAGAAAAAGAAACAAAGACATTGAGCAGCAAAGCCAGGCTACGCTTAGATACATGGATCTTTATGAAGATCTAGGTATGGTTTATGGGTTGCTACCAAACAGAACAGCCTGGATCTCATGTTCAGCTTAGAACAGCTCCACCCTTGCTGACAGAAAGACTCTAGAAAAGTTCCCCAAAGCCAAGCATGTTTCTCTACTGTTACCTAAATATTCTCTGGTAAACAATGCTGGAGAAAGGTTGCTGGACTAGAAAAGGTTTTATTCAAGTAGAAATACAAGTTATTTGGAAGCAATGTCTTCCACATCACCATTTTATACCAGTAGAACTCTAAAGTGAAGCCAGTTCTCCCAGACACCTCTGTTATGCATTGCTAACAGAA